AATTAAAAAAAGGTGTGGGCGTTAAAAAATTATGTAACTTCTTTGTACCAAATTAAATAAAATAGCTTTCAAATTGTTTAGGATCTAAGTACTCCAAGGTATCTATGTAAGTTAGATAAGATTCTAATTTCACATTTTATTTTGTATGAAGTTATCAAATTCTCGATAATATTTAACTTTTAAAAATATATTTGTGTGGGAACCTATATTACTAATATTTTTACATTTATAAACAATAATTATCTCCGTTTCTGAAAGCACTATTAAAAAAAAGTTTATAAGGACAGGCTTCGTATTAAAGAGGTTTTACAAAATAAAAGTAAACAAAAACATGTAGAGGAATTATTGGGCAAGAAATATTAAAAAATAATAGTAGTAAAAGAGTTGAAAACCCCATGGGAAAAGGGAGTTGGTTAACTGAAATGAAGATAATGCATGTTGCTGCCCTAGAAATTAACCTAGATTTAACTTATTTCAACTTAGCAATGTTTTAATTAAGAATTTAACTGTTATCTTCTGCATTTATGACTTCTATTTAATTTTAAAATATTTCGTATGATTCAATGCAGTTGAAGAAATGGATTATATAGAGCGGAATTTCTGGATAGAATAAAGAATTTTTTTATAGTTCTGTTAAGAGTGAGGTGATGCTATCACAATATTTTAAGTAATCATATGTAGTTATTATGTAAGTTCTTGTTTAAAAATATATTTTTTTAAACTCAAGAAAGAATTTAGAATCTTCTATTTGCAACAGAATAATCGTTTTGCAGGTAATTTCGTGCTAAAATGTGAAAACATTCGAGTAACCGAGACGTAAGGGTGGTTCCATGAAAAGTTAAACCTGATGAAACACTCATGAAATAACTAAAAAAAAGAAATAAAAACTAGTGAACCAATTTTATTCAGCATTGCGTTTTAAATGATCGTCTCATTTTGTATTTATAGAAATAATTAAGTACAGTAATGAAAATATAAATAAAATAAAAGTAACAAAATGAATTTTGCATTTAATTACATTAACGTAATTATAATTTAAACAATTTTAAAATCGTGAAATCATTATTTATACATATTTTTAGTTTTCTTTTAATATGCTCACAGTTAATATTTTTATTTAATATTTATTTTACTTACATACAGGCAGTATATGATTTCAGTTCAATGTTTTCTTATTTATAATCATTAGAATACTTTTTTATAATGGAATTTTTTAAAATTTTTAATCGCTTTTTAGAAAGTCACAAATTCTATAAACGCTGGGAAGAAGTTACTAAATTTAGTGAATACTGTCAGTTTTGAATGGAAAATAAAAGGAATGAATATTTAAATTACAAATCTTTAATTAATTTTATAAAATCAGACACATTTGGCGTAAAAGATTTCCTATTTATCTAGAACTTCTTTGTCTTTTCAATGTGGTAGAATTAAATAAAAATATGTAATTCTCTGAATCTGAGAATCTGTCGAGAAGACAGAAATTAATTCAGTGGTTTCAAATCGGGTGGTCTTGGAAATCGATCGCAGTTTGTTGTCACTGATTCAGTAACATAAATATTTTATTACAAAAGTAAAAAATAGCGAAATCTTATTTCAATTAAAAATATCAAGTGAGATATATGTTCTAACCAGAAAAGAATTACACAGGTAAGAATCCTAAAACAAGCAGATATTTTCACGATAACAACCAAATGTGAAAAGAAATGTGTTTTAACTTAAAAGTAAATGTAGCAACTTCGCGTCTATAGTAGAATTTGTAGCGTTTTTTATATTAGTTTCGAAAATGTGACCCTTATACAGGGTGATTCTGAAATAAGGGCGTTCCTTTAAAAGGGTGGTAAAGGGCACGAAAATGAGCAACTTTTATTAAGCAACTGATGTTCAAAATGCTTCTGTTTTCGAGAAAATTAATGAAGAAAATTAACCATAAATGTAAGCCCACCCTGTGCATCTTGTGCACGTGCACGGCTAGAATGCTTCGGACTTACTACATGGGTGAAGCGTTTCTCTAATTGATTTCCACGTGATTTCTACAATCAAGCAAATCTAATGGTAGGCCAGTATGTCTTGTGTTCTACAGTTATGTGTTGCAGTATTACTTAACCGGCGTATAAAATGTTTTCTGATCAAGCACTAGCAGATATGGTGTACGGAGAATGTAAGTACCAGTTAAATGAGACTTGTCGTTTGTATGCGGTCCGTTACCGTAACAGACGACAACCTAACAATAGAACGATAGAAGACTACGACTACGAAGAAAACATCATAAACCTCGTTGAGGAAGATTCGAGGCGCAGTACTCGCGACATTAGCAATGGGTGGGTGTACTATGGTAACAGTTATTATTACACCTCTATCATGTATATACAAAAGGTTCGGGAATTAAATAACAATGATTTTCAGCCTCGTGTGGAATTTTACCAGTGGTTTCGACATCGAATAGCACAAGATCCGGATTTTACAAGCAATGTGCTTTTTACGGATGAATGTTGTTTTACGGCATACTAAATTTTCACAACATTCACTATTGGTGTGATGCAAAACCTCATGTTGTACAGGGATGTGTGGTGCGGTGTTTTTGGTTACAGATTACTCGTTCCGATAGTGTTATCTGTACGTTTAAATGGTGTTGTTTATTTACAGTACCCTTACCGGATTTGTTGGAAGACGTCCCTTTAGAAATCCGTGCCCAAATGTTTTACATGCATGCTGGTGCCCCTTTCCCACGTTTCTCGTGCAGTTTCTGAATTTTTACATACCAGTTTTCCGGAAAGGTGGAATGACCCTGTACGTTCGGATATGAACACTCTGGAATTTTTTGTTTGGGAGTGTATGAAACAAAATTAACGTGTACCGAACGCGTATTGTCGATGCAGCAGATCTTCAACAGCGTATTTTTGCTGCAGCTAATGAAATTCGACAAATGCCGGGACTCACACGTATAATCTTTCCGATTTCAATTGAAGAACCAAGTGGTTGATAGTATGTACCAGGTTCGGTCGCTGACGCAGCAAGCACCTCGGCATTGAAATATTTGAAAAACTTGTTCCCATAGTTATTTAGCTATATACAGGTCTGGTCGAACTAAACTGTAGGTGCTAGAAATGTATACGCCCAATTGAAGAATGCGAGCGCGGGCAAACGAAATACAAACACAGCCGCATTGGGCCACTGGCCAATAAACCTCAGCTGTTGACAAGTGCTTGACAAATTGCCCAGCAGTGCAGTGCAGCAATGCGGAATTTGGTGTGATTCAGGTAATTTTAATTTATTATAGGCACCTTCTATTAATAACTGATATTACAATTGCGAAGGGGAGAAATAATATTATTAACAACATGTCATTTTGGAGACATTTTGAAACGGAACAAAACGAAATTTACCATCAATATAATAAAATTGTTTGAGGATATAAAAATTAAAATATGTTGTCGGCCAAATGAACACATAATAGAAATTTTCTACACATTACATACAAATTATTATAATTTTTTACCTTTAGCAGAAAACTTTTTTAGGTACGCCTATGAAAGTCATTAAAGGAGGAGAGCCGGTTTTTGGTCTAATTTATTTTTGGCTGAAAAATTTTTTTTAGTACCTACTAGCAATACTGAATCGTTTTCACCCTAAACTGACCAACCCCCTCACCCTCCTTTCCCCCTCCACCCCCTTAAATGTCGGGGAAACCATCGCTTATTAGAGGAATCTTTAAAGAGCTTAGAGATGCGGAAGACATTCAATTCCTATGAATCTTACATATGAAGAGTTTTTTGGGTCGCTGATGACGAATCTGGCCTCAGAATCAAAATGGCGGATAAGAAAATTTGAAAATGTCTTCAAAATGCATGAATTTTTTTGTAATGAGGTTTTTTGGGTCTATGATTACGAATCTGGACTCTAAATCACGAATTTCAAAATGGCGGATTCAATATGGCGGACAAATAAATTAAAATGTCTTTAAAATGCATGAATTTTTGTGTAGTGGGGTTGTTTGGGTCTCTGATTACGAATCTGAAGGCAGAATTACGAAATTCAAAATGACGTATGCCATATGGCGGACAAAAAAATTAAAAAGATGTTCATAATCCTCAAATATTTGTTTATAGAAACTTTCTTGGATCACTGATTACAATTATTAATTCAGAATCACGAAATTCAAAGTGGCTAATCAAATATGCACAAACATGTATGTATAATTATTGATTTTTAATTTTTCGTTTTATTCAATGTAAATGTGCGTCATCTCATTTAAGGGGGTGGAGGGGAAAGTAGGTAGGTACTAAACAAAATTTGTTCAGATTTTTTTAGCCAAAAATAAATTAGGCTAAAAACCGGCCTAAGGGGCCCTCCTCCTTTGATTGTCAGGCGTTTTTTTACATGTTCAACTGACTTCGGGAAGACTATACGTGAATTAATTTTGACCGACGTTTGGAAGCATGTTTATTATGACATGGAAACAACAATTTTTGTATAGCATACCGTCTATTGGTAAGTAATTCGTTTATTCATTTATTTTTTTGTTACTTTTAAACGATATTTGAATAAATTTCAGCATTTTCGAACACAAAATTTAAAGCGACAAAACCGCCATTAGCGTTTTCGCACTGCGGCGCGCGGCAGCTTCGATATCAAAGGTACAGCTGGCTGCCGCACGAGAAACGGCTTTAAATTTGTTTAAACCTTCATGAGATTTTTTTTCCAATGTAAAACGTAATATTTTAGACCATAAGTTGCTTATTAAAAGTTGATCATTTTCGTGCCCTCACCCATTTCAAGAAACGCACGTATTTCAGAAACACCCTATATACTATTCCATATTATTTGAAATAACGATAAAATTTTTTAATTTTGATTAAAATAGTCTCGAAAATCTGCAAGGTGGACCGAATATAAACGATTACGTAACGCATCGGTTCTATTTCAACTGTAGTTTTCATCATAGCAAATAAATAGCAGAAGTATTTATGAAATTCCACAAACCATAAAATGTATCCGTGTTGTCAGGAGTATATTGAGGAACATGGATTGTGTACAGGTGGCGCAGTATCTTCTACAGGCAATATATCAGCAAGTTTCCATTTATCTCGTATATCCTCTACTTTTTCGAATACCCTCAGTATGTTGAGCCCTGCCAGAGATACGATATCCTTCTCAGACCAAGAAGGATCAGCCAAGAGCTCGGCTAGGAGATGAGGATACCTGGAGACGTCTTCGAGTCCTGACGGCGTCATGTTAATACCATCATACCCCGCCCCTATCCCGACGTGGTCGATACCAGCGACAGTCCGTATGTGGTTTATATGCTTTATTACGTCTTGTATAGTGGCAGTTTCGTTACAAGTAACATGAAGCGTATAAAAATTAACCATAACGACGCCCCCGTTGTGCGCGATGAGCTTCAGAATGTCGTCCGGTACGTTTCTGGAAGAGTTGCACAACGAAAAGGCGCTCGAGTGTGAAAAAATAACGGGCGCTTGAGACGCGTTCAGCGCCGCTTTGGCAGTGTTCATAGATGTATGGGAGAGATCGATTATCATCCCCAGTCGATTCATCTCTTTTATCACGCTCTTCCCGAAGGCCGACAGCCCATCTCGCGTCTGGGTGTTGGTGCCTGTGGCCCAAGGCGTATCACAAGAGTGTGTAATTGTCAGATATCGCGCCCCAAGGTTATAAAATGTGCGTAAGACAGCTAGAGAGTTGCCGAGGGCGTGACCGCCCTCGACACCTATCAGAGAAGCTATGCGTCCCTCTTTGTGCATCTGCTTTAGCTCGCTAGTACTCCTAACTAAAGCGAAATGCTGCGAATTGTATTCCACCAGTCTCTTTATTACATCTATTTGTTCTAAGGTAATTTGCACCGCATCCAAATGCTGCGCTTTACAAGGCACATAAGCTGACCAAAACTGAGCACCTAGTTGTCCCGCTCGAAGGCGGGGGATATCCGTGTGGGACCAGAGGCTCTTCGACCAAGGCTCTTGCTGGCTTATTGCGCTAAGGTTTAGTTTCAATAAATTATTGTGAACGAACTTTCTCAGGTTCCAGGGCAGGTCGTTGTGCCCGTCGATAAGCGGGGTGTCCTTTAGAAGCTTTCGCACTATCTCTAAACGCTCTTCGGGAGTTTGTGGTTGCATGTCGGGGTTGAACGCGAGTGGGAGCCCTAGGCCAGCGGTTAGCGTGGCGACTACTACGCATACCACGATGCAGACGCACCAGGGGCCGCGGAACGAGGTCCTCGAGGAATCGCTGGCCGAGCTGCAAGAGCACGATTCGAGAGACGAGCTGGCGTGGTAGTCGTACGGCTGATAATGGAAATCTCGAACACCATTGTAATATTGAGGCACTACATTGAAAGATGTTTCTCTCACAGGCAGCTCACGAGGGCATGGCGCAATCTGAAACAAAAATATATTATTTTGGTACACAAATTGAGTTCCTAGCGGGCAGCCGACCAGAGCACACGTGTTTTGTGAAAGTGTAGTGCAAGGAGCAAATTCTACCTGCCTTTATTAAGGCTACCTGGAAAGAATCCCTTTCTTTCCTTTTAATCACCGACCTAATCCCCGGCTTAAGCATAGACGCCGTCGGCATCTTTGTTACAGCACCTGTGCCGGGGTTATGCCCAGGTAAGTTTTTACTTATTTATCAGTTATTTGCATTACTTTAGAATACATTTCTTTAAAATTGCGACCCCCGACAAACAATATACCAGACAGACAAATACACCAAAAGACACGTACGCCCCCGTGAGGGGGCATCCCC